TCGCGGCCTCATCGGGAGTTCCACCGAAGGCCCCCGTGGCTGCGGCCACATGCGTCCGCGCAACCCAGTACAGCGCTTCGCGGCCCCATTGGGAGCTCCACTGCAGGCCCCCGTGGTTGTGCCCACATGCGTCCGCGCCACCCAGTACGGCGCTTCGTGGCCCCAACGCGAGCTCCACCAAAAGCCAAGTGGCTGTGACTACATGCGTCCGCGTCACCCAGTACGGCGCTTCGTGGCCCCAACGGGAGCTCCACCGAAAGCCCCAGTGGCTGTGACCGCACGCGTCCGCGCCAACCAGTGCAGCGTTCCGTGGCCACACAGGGAGCTCCACTGCAGGCCCCCGTGGCTGTGACCACTTGCGTCTGCGCCACCCAGTACAGCCCTTCGTGGCCTCATCGGGAGCTCCAGGGAAGGCCTCAGTGGCTGTGATCACATGCGTCCGCGCCACCCAGTGCAGCGTTTCCTGGCCCCTAGGGAGCTCTACGCAAGGACCCAACCATAACTACTCAGTTGCCAGTGCCGCAAGACAGGTGGGACGAAGGAGGAGTAACTCCTTATGGAGCCACGCGACGTGTGAATGGTATGCCGAGACGAACGGGGGGGGACATGTGGACACTGCCGCGAGGCCTTCGGTGGAACTCCCTTGGGGCAAGCCAGGACACTTTTTTTTACGCATCGAAGAAGCCCAGCGGCAGAAAGCGGCAGTCGGGGGGGAGGAGGGAGGGAGGGGGGGAAGGGGGGAAAGCAGCCCGCGCGCGGGCTGCCGGGGCACCGAATTAATCCGGCGGCCCAGGGCGCTGCACCCACCGCGCCCGCATGGCCTCCCGCCAGTCGGCCTCGCGCCCGCCAGCCCGGACCGTGGGCAACAGCAGCAGGGCTGCCGCCCGCGGCGGCAGCGCGGCGGCCCAGCCCGCACACGGCGACGCCGCCAACCGCGGCCAGGTGGGCGCAGACGCCCCGCAGCGCATGCAGGCCACCCAGCCGGGGCCTTGCGCGGCGGCGTGGAGCTGCCAGGCCTGCCCCGCGAACAGGGCGGCGCAGCGGGCACTGCCGCCGCTGCCGCGCGCGTTGCCGGGCTGCGCCAGTGCTGCAGCAGCTGCAGGCGGGGGGCCCTGCGGCTGCGCGCCTGGCTGCGCGCCGAGCACGCCCCGGCGGCCGCGGCGCCGGCGCGGCGGCCTGCGGGCCCGAGGCGCCACGCCTGCGCTGCCGTGGTTCACCTTCAGGGCGGCCAGCTCCACCTCTGCCAGCAGCCGCTGCGCGACGCCCAGCGCGCGCAGGCGGTTGTCCCGCCCGGCGACCAGGGCGGGCGGCGGGAGCCGCGCGCGCGCGGCTGCGCCCGCGAGCCGGTCAGCTGCTGCGTTGCCAAAGCGGTCTCCGTCAGCCAAGCCTCGCGCCCGGGCGCTGGCTGCGTCGAGATGTCCTTTAATCCATCGCGCGACGAGGGTCCCGCTCTGGCAGTAGGGCGCCAGCAGCTCCCAGACCTCGGCGCGCGCCCATTCCGCTGGGTTTGCCCCCGCCCGGAGGGCCGCGACCCCGTTGCTGACGAACCGGGAGTCCGTGATCACCTCCACGGGGCCCGCGGCGAGGCTCAGAGCATGCAGGGCGGCCGTCAGTTCCGCCCTCTGCGCCGTCTGGGGCCCGTCGACCGGCCCGCTGCAGTCCTGGGTGCCGTTGGGGCCGTCGAGCCGTAAGCCCCAGCCTGCCCTGGCCAAGAGCGGATCTGTCGGCCGCTCGCAGGCGCCGTCTGTCCACGCACGGCGCCGTGGCGGGCGCTGCTGCGGGTCGTGCTGGCCGGCGGGCAGCGGCGGGGGCGGAATGGGCACGCAGGCGCCCTCGGCCAGAGCGCTGAGGACCGGGTCCTCCGAGAGGACGCCCGTGCAGGCGGTTCCCGGCGGCAGGGCCGCGCGGAGGCCTTCCGGGCGAAACCCGGTGCCGCGCAGAGCAGTCGCTCGCGCCTCCTGCCAGCACGGACACCGCCAGAACCGGTGCTCTGGATCCTCGTCGGCCACCCGGCAGTGGGGGCACAGCGCCGGTTTGCCCCACTTGGCTGCCACCGACTGCGTGACGACGCCGCCCGCAAGCACCGTGCGCAGCGCGCCCGCCAAGTCTGGCGCGAGCTTTCCTTCCTCGAGCAGCCTGCGCGTGGCCCAGCGGTCCACCCCGCCAGCGAGGTGCCCCATGTCGCCGCGGCGGGCGGCAACTGCGGCTGCTTCGCGGCGGGCCCAGGCGGCCAGGAGCACGCCTCGCGTGCAAGGAGTGCTCTGCGGGGCGCCACCCCGCCGGCACGGCCGGGACGCCTGTCCAGCTTTCGACGTCGTGCCCAAGCCGGAGCTCCGCAAGGCTGCGCACGGCCGCCGAGATCGGCCCATTCTGCCGCCCGTGCCCCGCCGCGATGGCGCCGGCCGCGCTGCGCCACCGCTGTGCTGGGAAGCGGCCGCGGCGGATCGCCTTCGCGATGTGCCAGAGCGGGGCGATGGTCGCCACGGCAGCCGGGTCGAGTCGCCAGCTGGGGCTGAGGACGCCGAACACGACCTCCGCGGCCGCCCGGAAGCCACCGCGACGACATACCGCGTGCCGCGCTGCCGCGCGGAGCCCCCGCAGCTCGGCCTCTGGCGGGCGCCCGCGCGCCGCGCCGTACAGGCCGGCAGCCGTGCCCGCCGCCGCGCCCAGCAGGCACCGCTGGCCGAAGCTGACGGGCAGCCTGGCGATGCGGGCAAAGCGGGTTCTCGCGTCAGCCATCCGGCCCCCCGCCGCGGCACTGCGCCTGGCCTCGCCTGCGACGGCGACCACCCCCAGGTCCCGGATGGTGGTGCCTGCTGCCAGCGCTGGAGTCTGCGCGGCAAGCCAGCGTCGTAACTCGCTTGTGTTGGCGAACTGCCGGCTTTTCCTCCGGTTCAGCTCCCAGCCCATGGCGGTCTCGAACTCCAGCGTCACGACCAAGGCGCCCTGGACAGCCTCGGCCGCCTCCCCGGCCTCCTCGGCCCTGGCGCGCATCCACAGCGTGAAGTCGTCTACGTAGATACGCCGGCGGAGCCTGTCATCCACGGCCCCCGCACGCCGGTGCCATGGAAGCGTCAGGACGCTGAGGAAGAACACTGCTAGGGCGCACCCTGGGAGGAGGCCGGAGGAGGGCGACCACGGCACGCCTGGCCGTTGTTTAGAGGGAGCTGCTGGGAGCCAGGGGGCGACAAATTCTCCAAACTCGTTGTGCGCGAAGGGGCGGCATGGGAGCCGCGCCAGGGCAATGTCGGGGCTAGCCAGGCAGGCAGTGACCCCCGCGAAGCCCCAGTAGGCCCCTGGGCTCCTGGAAGCCGACGACGGCCAAAGTTCACCGAAAACGCCCAAAAACGCCCTGCCTCGATCGTCGACGGCCGTGGGAAAAAACATGTCAGCCAGGGGAAAAAGGAGGAGGAGGAGGAGGAGAAGGGGGAAGAAAGGGAGGATGAGGAGGAGGAGGAGGAGGAGGAGGAGGAGGAGAAGGCTACGATGACGTCGACGACGACGACGACGAACACCGACGACGACGACGACAAACGGACACCGACGACCACGGACGACCACGACCACGGGCGAACGACGCGACGGACACCGACAACGACGACGGACACCGATGACCACAGACGGACACCGATGATTACAGACGACCACGACCGCGGACGACGACAATGACGCTGGAGGACGACGACGACGACGGACGACGACGACGACGACGACGACAACGGGCGACGACGACAATGACGACGACGACGGACGACGACGACGGACGACGACGTCGGACGATGACGACGGCGAAGACGACAACGGCGACCACGAATTCGAAGAGGGGCGACGACGACGATGATGGACGACGACGACGACCACGACGACGGACGAAGACGACGACGACGGGAGACGACGGCGAGCGACGACGAACGGGCGACGACGGGAGACGACGGACGACGACGACGACGACGACAACGGACAACGACGGACGACGACGACGACGGTGGACGACGACGACGACGGACGACGACGATGGCGGACGACGACGACGACGACGACGGACGACGACGATGACGGACGACGACGACGACGTCGGACGACGACGGACGGACGGACGAACGGACGACGGACGGCAGCGGACGACAACGGACGACGACGACGACGACGACGAGAAGAAGAAAAAGGAGGGGGACGGGGGGGGCGACGAGGGGGAGGAGGAGGAGGAGGAGGAGGAGGAGG